ATTCAGAAACGGTCAAGTGCTTCCGAAATCTCAAATTCTGACACCTCTTAAGATTACATTTCTTTATGCCCTTGCCAAAGGGCTGCAAAACACCACACTGTTTGGATACGTTCCCAGAAGAAGTCTCCTCCAGCAATTAAAAAAAATACATTATCTATATCAGCAGTCTTAGTGATTTTTCTGACCTGCACTACAGACACTGAGAGATGGGGCCCAGCAAGTCGGTCCTCTGCACCCGTCCTCCACCCACGGGGAGCAGGGTGGACACATCCCCTGTGGGTCTCGGCATTTAAAACCTGCACCCTCCATGCCAGCAGAAGACAGAAGGGCCTCAGCTTGGCGGTGACGGGGCCACCCTGCCCGCCTGGGAAGAAGGGGGTTTCACCAACCACCTCCACAATAAATGCGGGTTTAGATCAAGGGTTCACTGGGATGGTGACCCCGACTCCCCCACGCACCCAGCCCCAGCTCTCACACGTGTTTAACCCCCTTGGAACACACGGAGCAGCCCTCTGCATCACCAGAATGTTACGGCTGACTGCTCCATGAACCACAGCCACAAATGGATGCCCAAGATCTGGGCTGACAAGTTGTCTGTCCAGACGAAGACATTTTCAATTTGCAGTACACTATTTTCATGTCTGTCTAACAGCTAGCTTTCCCTTTTGCGTCCAAGGAGAGGCTGTGCTGTACCATAATTCATTCCAAGCCACTGGCAGTTGTCTGAAACTCCTGTACATTATCTTAGCAAAGCCTAACGCTCAGTTTCTTTAAAAGACAGGGGAGCAAATGAGTCACTTTACATACCTTGGCAGTCACATACAAGGCAACGGGTATGTCCAGGAGGAAATAACATCACGAACTGGCAAGGAATGCCTACATCTACCCGTTCAACAAGACTGGGTCCACGCTAAAACCTACGGCTTTGAAGATGAAAGGGCAAGCATTCATCTGAACTATTATTTCTGTACTAACGCATGGACACAGGAGTTGGAAACTGATCAAATGACAGACAAAACGCTCCTGTGTGCAAACACGTTACACATGCCCCCTTAGCATTTCTCTAACAAATGCAGAGGTGGTCGAACTCCCTCTGCTCCTCTTCTGGATAATTCTCCGCAGGCACACAGAGCACTCGGCGCGGCGCTCGGAAGGCAGGGGAGCAGCGGCAGCGGTGCCCGTGGGCAGCCGAGGACCACACCGCGGGGGGACCCTGGGGGCAAAGCGCAGCGGGGGTGCGGTGCCCATCTTCGGCGCGGGCTCTCACAGCTCCTCCGCGGCAGACGGTGCCAGCCTGAGGGCCCTCCCCGCATCACGCACTAACGAGCGCGGGATGATGGCTTCTTTGGGAGAACAGCGTCGCTGGAGGGACGGGGATGCAAAGGAGGGCTTCGCCCACTGCCGCGCCCTGGGCTGGCGAGGGGCCCCCAGCCCAGAGTGGGGGTGCAGGATGAGGCCTCCCCAGCACGGCAGCCCGGCCAGCCCCGGGGCGCG